ATAACGAAGCCAGCGTCCCTAGGCGCAGCCGGGCGCAGAGCGACGCCGTATGGCGTCGACGTCGCGAGCTCGATCCCAACTTTTCTCTCTGTTTCTCTATCTCTCTCTCTCTCTCTCTCTTTGGTTAACTCTTCTTTCGGCCAACGTCACACCGGAAGATCACAGTGTACACACTTCTTTGCGATCCTCGCGCTCTGTATTTCTCTAAGGAACGACCATACCGACGAAACTGGACGAAGAGAGAAGGTGCAAGAGAGAGAAATAAGGATAAGGGGAGAGGGAAATGGAGAAGTGTGCGCGCGAGAAAGAGACAGAGAGAGGGAAAGGGAGCAAGCTCAGGAGCAGTAAGGGAGAGAACTTTCGTTATCGCGCCGCGAGTGACGCGCTGCCCTCGGAGCGTCGCGACGCCGCCAGACGCCCGACAGTCGTCAGTCAGACGCGCCACGGTTGTCTCGTACACTGACCGGTTTTCGTAACCGCCGCTGCACTTCGCGCTCGTCCTTCGAAGGATTCGCGTATTCTTCCTCCACGCCTCTCTCTCCTCTTCCTCCCTCTGTTTTCCCGTGTCGCAACCAGAAGACCACTCGGTAAAATTTTTCAACCATAGACACCGACCGGACATCGTACGTACGTACGTTCCTTCTTTTCTGCATTCTTCCGAGCCACGACTCGCTTTTCTCCTTTCTCCCCGGTGTCCCGTCTCTGTTAAGAGTCGTGGCTCGTGGACACGAGTCGCGCACCGTGAACGTCACTCGTCGCACGTATACCGAGCCGAGCTGTCATTCTCGAGAAACCGACTGCTTTCAGTGAATGACACCCGCCGTATTCGAATTGAATTTTCAACGTGCTGGACTATGCTAAATTTTTCAACTCGATGGATATTCTGAACGGACTTTTTAGAAGCTATACATCGACAGAGAGAATGGATTAGAAGCTGTTTGATGGCGGAAAAGAGGTTAGTATGAAAATTTTAATTGTTTATAATTTTTTTGTTTTTAGTTGATTTCATATTAATAACAATCTTGTTTAGGATTGTGGAGGATATGGCTCTTGAGGATATTATTACGAAAAATTTTAAAAGACCATCGAATACCCTAATAATAGGCAACCGGATTAACATAATGGTAGACGGGGCGAACAGGTATCTCTGAATTTTCGTTCTGTTCCTATTGTACTTCATTTATTTCACTTTTATTAATTATATATTTTTCAATTCGATTCATTGTTTTTCGAAACATCTGACATTGAATCTTTTTTCAGGTTTAAATTATATATGCAAATTGCATACGATCTTCAAGCGATAAATGTCATCGTCTTACCTTCGTTTCCAGTGGTTTCTTCTGCATGGTGTTGTGGAATAATCGAGGTCATCATGCATAAATGACGTCTTCGAATGGATTATCCAATTCTTGGCAAGTGTTTTCGGATAGTGATAACTGGGGCCATATCTCGACGAGGAATGTGAAACCCCCTGTACGTATACTGAATGTATCCTGAGTGTATTTCTGTCCGGTATACCTTCAGTATACGTAACAGGAGGCTACACCGAACTACGCTGGATGTCATCATGGATCTCGTTGATATCCGCCAGTAATCGTAAATCCATTTTAAACGGATTACGATGCGATAGCTATCTTTATTACCAATATAGTTTAGAGCACTTGTGTACATCATCGCCTTGCATAAATTGGAACTGTAATTTATTATATTTTGTACATATTTATATTCGACGACTGAATTACAATTCGATTGTATATCTTGTTAAAACTAATGGAACTTGTTAGGTTATGTGTTTACTTGCTTGCGAGAGAAGGAAGTGAGATTAAAATAAATGAACAATCGATGTTGTAAATTATGATTTGTGTACTTGAGAAAGAAATAATTGTTAGGTTATGTAAGTTGCGATGCAGAATAAGTGAGGTTAAGGTAGTTGATTTTATGGATGATTGTAGATTGTTTTGTATTGTGTTGATTATTGAAATATTTTTAAAATAAGAAAATAAGTTTAAAAATAGATAGGTTTTAAAAATTTTTTGATGAAATTAGTATTTAAAGTTTGTAGATTGAATTTGAATTAATAAATGATTATACAGAATAATTGTCAATATGATGCATAGCAATTGCCTGTAAGAATTATGTGAAATCCTATCGATCTTTTATTTATGTTGGCATTTCATAAATATTATTGAACTTAATATTGTTTTACGAATTCCTAATTGTTAGTAAAATGAAAATCGTTTGGAAATAGAAAAGTTTTATGATATTTTGAAAAATAAGATTATCAAATAGATTATATAAAATGATCCTGAAATTTTTTATTAAAGAATTTAGAAATACAATTCGAGAATTAAAATTAACAATGAATTCTTATGAAATATCGGAGTAATTATAATTTCAATTGCGAATGTAAATTATTAATATTAAGAATATAAAATTATAAATTTTATATTATAGTGTTTATATGCTGATATAAATAATATCAAGCAATATTTTTTCGATTTTATTTCAATATTTCTACAATTTAGAGATAATTAATGATTTTTTCATTAATTTAGAATTACTTATTCCAATCAGCAATCAAGCAATCAAGCAAATATATTTCTTAATATATTATATCAAATATATTACTACCATATGGAAATTAAATCGTGTTTTTCAATTTTTTATATCATATATGTAATTTAAAAAAAATATAAAACATATTATGTCATTAAATATTTTTTCAAGCAATTAATAATTAAATATGAATTAAATATCATTCATCTCAAACAAAAAATAGTAATTTCTATTTCTTCGATCAATAATATTTGCCATTTGAAACTTTGAAGCTTAAGTTCGAAAAATTTTAGAAATCAAAATTTATTAAAATTTGAAATTTCAGAAGAATTCATTTAAATTTTAGTTCTCGACGAAATCATACTTTCCGAAACTCGATTATTCGAAACTTCGAAATTTTAATTTCCGAAAAGAAAGTTTTTTCAAATAATTAACAAAATAATATTCCTTAGAAAATAAAAAAAAGAAAAAATAACCATTTTAAATTTTCGTAAATAATAAAATTTCACAAAATCCTCAAATTAATCTAATCTCCGTATCGTAAATCGACATCAAACTTATTTTAAAAAGAAAATTTTAAAGAGATAAAGAAATAAGAATCAAATCAGATTAAAAATTCGCATAAGATCATTCATCAAACACGAAATAAAATTGTTTACGAGTTCGAACGAAGTTCGCCGATAAAACCCGAACGAAACAAACAAGATATAAGTCATCTCGTTTCAATCACCCTCTTTAATCTTTCTCAAGACACGATGGAGGTAACTATTTCGCCCGTGTCGAACGTACAACTTTCTCTTTTAGAGGCAATCGTAAAAAAGGGTTGAAGACAGGCCATGTCGACCTATTTGTCTGTAAATCGGCAAAAGGGTTGGTGAAAGTAGACTCTGGCAATAAAAATGTTAAAAATTCGAAAGTCAAGAAAGGGTTGGCCGTGGATAATGGGCAGGGATGGAATTTCACTTTCTTCTCTAGAAGCACGAACCGAAAACGGTCAGTTCACATCGCGGTCAAGTGCGTACTATTTCGTGATTTTAAAATCTAGAAGTGACTTTTTTCTATTTTTTTTTTTTCGCAGTTGTTAATCGGTTTATGGCGTCTTGTCAAAAGGAATGGAACATCTTGGCCAGAGTAAGTATCTATACCTGGATATTTGGTTACCTGCTGTTAGTATACTTAACGACCCTCGTTTACTAATAATCATTTTTAAATTATCGATTAATTCTAATAAGGTAATCTCATATTTGAAGGATTAAAAAAAAAACTTTTATAAATGCACAGTTAAATTAGACATTTTTAATTGAACATTGATGCAAACAACCGTAGAATAGTTTTACGGTTATATTGTTTGCATGGTGTGTCCTGAATTTTTCATTTTTCCCTGACCAGTCGCGAAATTTTCAAGGAAATTACATGAACGCTTGAAATTTAGAAAATTTATTTTTTAAATTTAACTCTATGCAGAAACTTACAACAAATCGAGTTATGTTAATTGTTATAACTAAATTTTATTGATATAAGGCATTCGAATTCTTGTAAATTACTTTACGTACGTTCTAATTATTCTTTCAAAAATATAAATGTATTATTTTTGATAGGTTTCTCTCGTATTTCTAAATTAAATCAATATGTAAACAAAGAAATTTTTTCCTAAATAAATTAGGAGACGAGGCACGGTTACGTTCGCCATAGATGATCGCGTATGCAGACCTTGCGTCACGGACAAGGCGCATCTGGATCATTGAACTCACTCGAACTGTCTGTCCAGGGACAAAACAGCATCGAATTATGCATTCTCGAAACCCTCGTCGACGCTATTTCTCTTTTTTTTTTTTTCTTCCGCTTCCTTTCTTCTCTATTTTTATCTCTACTCGAACGAGTGTACAAAATTATACGGAGAGACGAGAGACAGAAAAATTCCAGGATGGAAATTTGAAGAATAAACTATTTAAAATTTTTATGAAACTTTTTGAAAAATTTTTCACTCGAATTTCCTGGATAAAATTAAATGAAAAATTTACTCATTTTGATATTCCTCGAAATTCCAAGAATTTAAATTTTGGAAAAATTTTAAAAGAAATCTTTTCAAATGCAATTTTATCACATATATGTGAATATTCGATAAACTACTTATAGCTCTTCTTTTTTTTTTTTCCATTTTTATTCAAACGTTCAAAATCAGGCAAAGAATTATCGGAGGAATGTTGGAAATTCCTATGAAAAATTTAAAAAATTTTACCACTCGCGTGTTTTACGAGCCACCGATAAGAGACGAAGAAAACATCGATAAGAAAGGAAACCTAAGAATAGAGAGTTGGAAAGAAAGTAAATCTACTAAAACTGCAGGATATGGATATTATTGGACAAAAAAATTTTGAATCACTCTTCCACTTTCAATTAATACACCTTCTATTGATTTCAATCGTTAAATAAAAATTAATATAATGATTAATAAAAATTATTATATTTCGAGGTTACCTAAAATCCTAACCTAACTTTCTTTCAAACACTTATCCTCTTTTTAGAAAAAATTTCAAGAAAAATTGCATCCCTCCATGTGTATACATAAAAAAAAAAAGAAAAAAAAAGGCAGAAAACCTTAGATCCTCGGAAAAGCTCTGAAATTCAAAAGGGAGCTGGAAAAGCGTTTCGACAAAGTTCAACGAGCCCAACCATCTTTCTCTCCATTCTACGTATATACATATGTACGTGCAAAGAACAGAGACAGAGAGAATTCTGAACAGGAGTCCAACAAGGATAGCGAGAGAATAGAGACAGAAGATAGGCGAGAAAGAAAGCGAGAGACAAAGACGGACAGTGAGAAACGGTGGAAACTCGCGAGAGATTTCTGTCTTGCCGACCAATCAGGTGGCCGCCTCTTTCGATGGCCCAACCCTCGACCCAATATGGCCGCCACGCGCGAAACAGAGCTCTAACC